AACAAAGATAGAAAGGTAAAAATATGAAGACATCCTGTATTCAGGGACCTGAGGGGTGAGTGAGCTGGCTAGCGGAGATGGCATGCTAAGAGGCAAGAAAAGTTAAGTTGGAAATGGTAGGTCAACAGCAAATTATGGATTTAATAATTCTTAAATGCTAGGCCAAATGAACTAGATTCATGGCCTTGAAATTGAGAATCATAATGTGCTTGGTAGTGTTTTGAGAAATTTAACAAATGCAATTTTCTGTATCATGGAATATTGACACTGAAAGTGTTTCTGAAGGTCACAAACACTTTCTTTCATCCTCTTAGCAATAGTTAATCAAAGTTTACTTTTTGTCAGATAAATAACAATCAATTATGCATAAACCGATTACTACCAATTACTACTCATTGTCTTCTGAGTATGCTTTTTATTCTATACATGCCTGACACATAGGAACTTGTCAAAATCTCTAACACCATTCATAAATGGTCTTTTTGGAAATATTTCATGCAATTATGTGTCACATATATAATTTAACACGTAATAGATTCTAAAAAGAGAATAAGTTTAGCATGTAAATTGCTTCTTAAAGCATTTTTTCGACATTTTGCTTAATATACGTGGCCACTTTGTCCCAGAAGAAAGATTCTTCCTGAAGCGATTCAGAAAACATTTTTAACTTTAGCTCTGTGTATCCAATAGTGCATGATAGATATTTATTTTACTGATTGAAGTTCTGTGCCCTGTATTTTTCAGTGGTTTGTTAGAACCCAGTAATTTAGATATGACTAAAATAATGAATATTTAACATTTTAAAGGTAAAAATCATATGTGACCATAAACCAATTTAAAAATATTTACACAGTTTGTTAGCTTTCCTTACATAATTTTAAACTGGAAGTTGAAGAACTAAATCCCTTCAAGTACTTCCATTTTTATCATTTGGTTATGATATCCAGTTTTAAGAATAATTCAAAAACATAAATTACTCAAGAATATAAGGAGATCACTAAGCCATGAGTAGAACTTAGTACAAGTTTCCATCATGGAAGTATCATTACCATGTTGAAGATTTAGACAATTCTGGAGTATTTAATCATGAGGTTACAGAGGAAGAGGCAAACAAACATTGGAGAGGAAAGATATTCCTATTTCTAAAACAAAAAATTCCAAGATAGCTAAATTTATGAATTTATAAGATAAAATTTGACCCCATGAAGGACTGCTTTATACAATTCAATCCACTGTGGAAAGCTTAATAATATTGTGGCATTTTAATAGGATAACAATGTAATTTCATAGGATAACTCAGAACTACATGAGCTATTAAGCCCAGATGTGACTGAGTTTAGAATATAGAAGTGAATTATCTCTAAGGCTAGTTTCATCTCTAAAATTCTAAGTTCAGAGACAGTTATGTTATGGCAACACATGGAGTTTTCAAATATTACTCAGAATTCCTAGGACAATCAACATAGAATGAAGAAGTGTCTCTGTTAATGAATCACTCACTTTGTCATTGCCACCATACCTCAGAGATAGAAGCCCTTTCAGATCCCAAAACACTAAGAGAATTTCTCCATTCTTGGTGTAAGATCAAGCTGGATATGTAAGAGTTGATATTACATTGATATGCATCTCTAAAATGTGTCAATAGAACTCTGGAGTCATAGTCATGAATAATTTTTCTGGTCCTTATTTTAACCTATAATTTTTGATTCCCTGTAAACCTAGAAGCAAGAATAAATAAAAGTCACTTTATTGACTACTGCTGTACTTTGGATAGTTAATCCCCTGCTCCTTCAAAAAAAATTTTGATAATAAATAAATATTTGCTAAAAGAATGGCAAAATAAATATCCCTCTTAATAGACAGCATAAAAGGGACAGAGGAGAGACAGATAATGGTTGTAGTATACTTTCTTTCCTTTATTTGTCAAATTCTGATCCTATTCCAATAAGAATTCCCAAAACCAGTGCAGTGGAAAAATCATACCGACAGAAGGGTAGAGAAGATAAATTTGCCTCTTGCATATGGAATTCCTAATTTGGCTGAGACAACAATAACTTCCCCTTTGCTATCTTCTGATTGCAGATTTTGCATCTCTGGGCTAATTTACCAATTATTTCTTTAGTCAAATACTATGTCCACATGTCATGTTTAATACTTACATTTTTAAAAATTTCTTTCAATTCTTTATTTTCTCTAAATGTAATGTCTCCCAGTTTGTTTCCAAGCTTCCTGCTTTCTGCTATGAGTCTTCATACTGAAAATATTTTTAATATAATTTTGACTTGGTGCATTGTAACCTGGTTCCCTGTACACTCTGTGCAGAAGCAAGTGTCCCAGGTACTGCTCTGAGGTGGGGTGGTGAGGGCTCTGCTCCTTCTGCTCTCAACCACATAATTATATCATAAAGTAATGCAATATAAAGGCTTTTGTTCTTATTCCAGGAAGTTGATTTCATTGGTGAAGCAAAAAAAAAAAAAAAAAATCACCCTTTGGAGATCTGAGGTCACCCTTCAGTGGGAACAATTATATTTTATAAAATGATTTTTCCAGAAATGGAAAAAGTGCTTTGTTTAATTAATTTGGTTTTTGTTTTGTTTAGTTTTAAAAACTGGTGGATACATGTGAAAGCAAAAGATTACTTGGTTTTAACTAACTGTCAACAAGGTAATATTGGAGTACTATCTTTCTTTTAAAGAAACAATCACACGATCTTACAGATGATCACCCATGCTTAGGTTTCTTCTAGTCGCAAGGAATCCACTACTTCACAAAGCAGTTTAATTGACTGTTAGAGTGCTCAGCTAGTTCTACCATCTGTAGTTTAAAGAATAAATCTATTCCCATGTTAAGACATTTTTTTTCACATATTTGAAGGTGTTCTCATTTATCCCATAAAACAAATCTTCAATTTCCCCCCAAACATATCAATAGTTCTTTTAATATAATTTGTCTAAGTTTCTAGATCTCTAATAGTTCTGATACAAGTTTGAAATGACCATTATTTTTTCCCCTTTTTATTATTTTCTTTTAAGAAAAAGAGTGTTCAGTCACCCAGGTAGAACTGCCATGGCATGATCATGGTTTAGTCCTGCTTGAATTGGCAGGTCCTTTCAAGTATGATATCAAAGAAGCCATAGATATATGGATATGTAACAGATAGGATTGATTGACTTGCTAAATTATCACTTCTACATTTGGCATACCAAAGAGAAAATATAATCAACACTAAATAAAAATGGAAAACTGGAAAATACATGTAACACATATGACCAACAAAAGACTATTTCCTTATAAATCAAAACACTATGAAAAAGAAAAATAAAGAAATACCATAACCAAATAGAAACATAAATGTATACAGGGTAGTTAAAAGGAACAGGAATGTTCTACCACTCCATGACAAGATCTTTTTTACCTAACATATTGGAAAACCTTCAATATAATTTGGGAGGAACAGAGAAATCATTTTTCATTGTAAATGAGAGTTTAATTAGAAATATACATTCATGTATTGTTGAATATATTTAAAGCAGAAACAACCAATTCAAAAGACATAAAATAAAAATTAAAAATAAAAATACCTTTCTTTATTTAGACATATGTAAAATAAATAAAAAAGAGAAATTTTTAAAAAGCTATTGTCAGTTAAGTTGGCAAAGATGGCCAAGTAAAGTGATGCATTGGGGATACATGCACCACCATGATGAACATATCATTAACATATAACCGAAGTCACAGAAGATGAGAGAACAAAGCTAAAGTAATAAAGAGACCCAAAGTGAAAAGTTTTCAAAACTTAATACACATCTAACTAAAGAATCAAGAGGTTACTAGCAGAAAAAATACAAGATTATTGTAAAGCTAGGATTGCTTGGGGGGGGGGGGGGGAAGCACAAAATTCATAAGTGGATCAATGGGGAAAGGGTCCAATCTCCTATTCCTTGTTTTCTGGATTTGAGTATGTCAACTGCTGGTAACAAAACTACAAATTAACTCTTGGTTCAATGGTTATCTAACATTCTGGAGTTCATCATTTCAACAAAGTTGGGTGTAATCTCAATGATAGCCTCTTACTTGGGCCTATTAAAGAGGCTACTTCAGTGTTCTCCTTGGCTGAATGCTTCCCCAAAAAGTAGATCCCGCAATCATGTTCCTGTTGTCACACCTTTTCCACTGTAAATACTTTTTTCTATAACTCCAGAAACAATCTATCTCTGAATCAAATACTCTGTAAGCCCTAGTATAGTGGTTTTGGAGAGGGACTTCAGGAACCATAAACTGAGGATTTAGCCTTATTTACTTGTAGCTAGTCATTCATTTGTGGACTTACCCTCTAAGCACAACTTTTCACCCCAAGCATTTCAGAGACTAAAATGACATAGTATTTGCATATAATCTAAACACATGCTCCCATATACTTTAAATCATCTTTTATCCAAACCTTTCTTCCTCTGCCAATGTTAGGGATGGAACCTCTGATTCCATTTCTTTTCTTTTCTTTTTTATTAAGTCATTCATACATATATCATAAATATGTTTATGCCATTATGGGATTCAATGTGTTGATTATTTGTACAAATTGGAATGCTTATATCCTACTAAACAACATAGTCTTT